TCCAATCCTTCTTAGCCTCTATGATGCAATACTTGAGCCATAATTGCATTACACTGCAATGATGATGTGTGTGCATGTACAAAGCATAAGGTTCTGCTGAGCATGACGCAGGATGCATCTGGACCTGAGCAGACTGCAGTCTGTGTGGGACCCTCAGATGTGTCTGATGAACACTTCCACGTTGCATGACTGAACTGAACCAAACTGGGCGAAACCAAACTAGACCGAATCAGACTTGACTGGACCAGAACAGACCAGCTGCTGCATGACATTCAGGACATTTGGACTTGTGCATGTTCACACTCCGCATCCTTCTGCTTCCTCTGCTCCTCCTCCCTCTGCTCCTCCTGTTCTTCTGCATTTCCTCTTGGGATTAACAATAAACAGACAAGACTTCTAAGCAGAACTTTAATCATCGGAATGGACCGTTAGTAAGATGACGGCCTTGAAGCAGTCACTCAGAGTCTTGTTGTAGCTTTATGTTGATCCTACAGTATTTCTACTACGCCTAAAGAAAACATCCAACACCTGTGGATGAACTGTCTCTTCACGACAGCTCATCGCAGACTGCATGTTAAAATGCATGTCTAAAAACCCTCTCCGTGCTTTGTACAGCCACTACCCACTCTTTTGATATTAGCCATGCTCAAAGCTGTTGATGATGACGTTCACTGTGGGCCATTTCAATAGTCGTCCCTGTCATCTCTCTCCCGCCTCAGTTTGTCACCCGCCTCCCCCGCGGCCCCCTGCTCGACTTCTACTCCAAACGCTGAGGGGCCAGAGCCGCCGAGACCCCACTAAGGTGTGCGCCGGCCGGGACCACCTCACCTTCTTCTACCCATCTTCTGTCGCATAATCACCTCCACTCATCCTCTGCTCACCTCCAGAAGCTGCCTTTTGGATTGACTTTCACCAAGCTTCCCTTCTTCTCTGCTTCTTCTCTCCTCCTTCTTACCACAAAGACTCTTGGACTGAATCACACTGTGTACTGAACTTTTCTGACTTGTCTCTCCTTGTTTTTTTCTACACGATTTGTCAATTCTGATTCGTAAATCGTAGCCCATGTTTTCCTAATGGTTTCTGCCGTCTTTATAATATTGTGACAGTGTTACAGTGACTTCAGGCAGCTTCTTATATTCGTACTGTTGCATGACAATCAATCAATGACCAAATTTTATAGTAATGCTTACGACATGCTTTTTTAAAAGGTTCTGCCATTGTCATTTGGTCAAAATTCCATTATCTCTTACATTTACATTGCATCTTTACATAAATGTGAATTGGTAAACCCTGTTCTAATGTGATCCTATAGATTTGTCTGTATACACCAGTAGATCCGCATCAAAGGCAGTTGTGTTGTGACTAGGGATGGGACACGTCCATGGTATGACTGTAATTTATCATGTGCTCCTTCCAAATAAAATAAATATATATTGCCCCATTGTCACTTCCAGATAATTACTAAAACCGTTTCTTAAAAAAAACAAAAAAAACAAAGAATCAAGGCTCATGAAGTTATAATCATGGTTTAGTGAGTGCTCACCTCACAATTCAATTGTTGGAACAAACTGGAATTTGGAACAAAATTTGAGGATAGCAACGAACCAGCAACCAGAGAGCCAATCAATAGCAGCGCCTGATTGGTCAGTTGTTAGGGCTCATATCTGGATCTCATACAAATACCTCAATAAAAAACAGCAGCATCATAGAGAACGCTAAACCACAGATTTGAAGTCCAAAATAGTGAGTGTGACAAAATCGTACGTAAGAGTTCACTTTTCAATGTAAGTGAATGGGAACAAACGCATCGTCCATTCGTCAGTCCATGATCAATATTAAAATAAGCCTTTGATGGGTTAGGTGCAATAAAACAATCCAAAAAGAAATCCTGATGTTTTAATGTAATCAAAAATATCCTTTGTGGGTTGTTAGTTTTTCGCCTTCCCACTATCTGTGAAATACAAGAGCTGATCTCAGAAGTCCATCCAGGGCGTTTCAATACTACGACTTTTCAACATTGCAGTGCACCTTCATACCGACGTTGGTCCCATCCCTGGCCATGACTGTATTGTGTCTTGTTTTTAGTGTGTGAGCGATAGCCTTCAGTGCAGTGAGTCTCATGCCAACTCCACACACGTGGAAAGTGCGTTAAGCTTCTCTGAAACGCCCAGTCCCGCTCCGGCCCGCACGCCTCGCACCGAGCCGCAGGAGTTGCCGGAAGTGTATGACCGAGACGTGGTTGTAGTGTTTGAATCCTCTCTGCTGCCTGTGGTGGAGGTGGAAGCGGCCCGCCGGCCAAGCCTCCCTCACTGGTCGCACTGTGAGGATATAGACACTGCCCAAACGAAGGAGCGCCAGGAGGCGCAGCCAGCCGAGGGCCACAGCTCTGGGACTGTCTCTTATTTCACGAGCACGGGTCCCAAGGTCGTGCGCTGTTGCCAGGTAGTCGCCGGTTCTCCTTGTGATCCTTCTCTCTTTGGTGACCCTTCGATAATCATGGATTCCGCTCTTGAACACACCTTTACAGCAGTTCTTTGGTTTAGGAACAGTTCCGTTGGATGCTGCACAGGTGTGGGCAAAACATTGGTGATGGGTAACTCCTTTCTTTCCCTTACACCAGGCATGTCTGATCTATGGCCCTGGCCAGACCCATGTAGGCCCAAATACAAACAGTGAATGCATTTGACTGAAAGTACAAAGAACTGCCACCATCAAAACCTCTATGTTTTGGTTATAAGCCAGATACAATATGTGCTTGCAATCCAGAGATGAAGTCCCTCATTCTCCAGAACGTGTTAAAACGTACATCCGGGGTATTATTTATGAAGCAGACATACGTACACACATTTTACACCAGTCATTATACCCCATGAAGTAATCTATCAAAAGAAAAAGATTAGAATTTGTCACTGCATTGTCCCAGTCAAATATACATAAATAAATAAGGGATTAAAATCTGTCCATTCTGAGAAACTAAAAATTAGGTTTTCTGAGGCACCAAAAGGCTGGACTGTAAAACTAATTAATTTTATTAATCTGACTTTTAAGATGTGACAAATGTTCCAAACCAGGCATGAGTTTCTTTTCTGGCTACATGTCTCAGGGCTTCTCTACTGTTATTTAGTTGTGCAAACACAGGGCAGTCCACAAAGAACGGCGAGTTTCCAAAAAGGCATAACTTTTATAACATTTGAGACATCAGTACAATACTACTATGGTTTTGGTGGTAATAGAAGTAGTATTTGGTGGCTTTTTGATTAAGATGGACTTGGGATGAATTGAATCTAGACTTTGCCGTCCAGTCCATCCACAACAGTTCAGACAGAAAAAAACCTTTGGATGGGAGTTTGTCATGAATCTATCCAACCTAAGCTGCGTAAGTTGTTCCATAGATCTAATAATATTGAAGCTACCTTTGCGCCCATGGATTTAAAAAAAACAAAAAACAATTGGACACCTCTGCCTTACTCAAACTTTTCCTTTCACCTGCTTTTCTACAAACCCAAAAGCTCAATTACACTCTATCCTTCCCTGATCTATCTGCTGATAAACTAACGCTCTGAATTTCGGGGGTGACATCTCTAAATTTCTGGTGGAACGTTGGTTTCTCACATTGATCAGAGGGAGCGGCTCGCACGGTGTGATCAGAGTTTGCCGAGCGGTCTGGTAAACGGCCACTCCATGCTCCGTCCACAGCCCCCTCTGGTGCAGACGCAGACAGTCACCATCACAGCCGAGTCCTCCCTGACCACGGGCATCTCCACCACGGACGTCCCAATCGTGCCGACCCATCCCGTCACCTATGGGTCTTCAAAGGTAGGGGCTCCAGCTCAGCTTCAGCTCAGCCCACAGGCCACATGAAGGCAGCATTGAAGTGTATTCAGGCCAGGGCTCTGACAGCAGAAAGAAGAATGCACATTGTCGCCGTAGTAACGCTCTGTGATGTCTGTGGGTCTGCAGGTGGACGGCACGGACGAGGAGAAGGACGGGTCGTCTGAGTCCAGCTCCAAAACGGTGATGTCAGAAAGTACCAGCGGCACCACGGTCACCACCACCACCACGCACATCTCCAAGGTTTGAGAGACAGAACCGTTACCTTCATGTTGTAGGATTTGACTTGCCACTTGCCAAACTCCAAAGTTCGGCAAGCCATTTTTGAAAAAACATTTGTCAAATAAAGTGTCCAAATGTTTTCCCAAATCATTATTAAACCGGCCATAGTAATCTCCTGACCACTATCATAAATATGTGGTTGTGAAAAGAGAAATCAACTTCCCTCAGTAACGATAATGAATGTAGAGTAAGTGCAGTAGTCGTGTTGAGGACTGCGCTTCAATATATACTTGCCTTTTGGAACTTTTCCCGCCATGTTCTGTTTTGCCGCCATATTAGTGTGTAATGAGGCAAATTGTTTTTTTAAGCATGAAACACCAGCATGATTTGGATATAAAATGATTGCACTTTTCTGCGATATCGATATTGCACTCACAATAAACTGAATCTGAATCTTATTGCGCTATCAATATTTCTCCATGTGCACAGCATTATACAACATTTTATTACATAGTTCTTCTTTTGTGCTTTCAAAGTTGGGTACCCCAGCTTTAATCTACAATTTGCCTCATATCGAAGAAATCCTTTTGGGGTTTTTTTCATTCTTTTTCCATCGTTTCATTTTGCAATTCTCTTTTCTTTTGCAATTTTGTGAACTCCTCCGAGGCATATGCCGAGATTGTGTCTTGTACAAAACCAAATCTCCTTTTCCGGCGTCTGTAGGTCGTGAAAAGCGGATCCTCAGAGACACGCGTCGAGAAGCGAATCGTCATCACCGCAGACTCTGACGTGGAACCAGAGAAGGTGTGTGCGTCGTTTTTAAACAGAACAATAGAAATCCTTTGTACGTTCACTTTAAATACATATTTTATTTGTTTAATTTGCTCCACAGGGGAAAGGATCCGGAGCGTCCGCTTTGTAACTCGCTCACTTCTCTCACCTTCTCGACTCACATATCACCCATCTCCCATCAATATTGTTGTAGACAATTAGAGGTTTTTTTGTTATTAGCATATTTATAATAGAAGACATTTTTATCTGTTTTCCTAATCCAGCAACTTTTCAGTTTGAGTGTCATTTTATGTTTTTACAGCATTTTACTCTAGTCGTTTTTACACACGCTTTTGAAAACGCAGTCATATCCTTTAGTAGCTTTAGACCACTTTATTCACAATCATTCCCCCGGCGGAAAAAAACGGGGGATTTGTGTTGTTTACATGTCTGATAGTTTTAGTTTTTTTGGAAAATGCATTTTTAAGTGACATACCTCGTGAAACACAATGTGAACAAAAGTCTATTCTGTGCCCACACGCGGGCTTTGTTCCAGCTCAGGTACAAAAAGCAGATTCCACTCGTTTCACCCCCGACCAGCCACGAACCGGCCGCGTACTCACTATTGTAAAGTTTAAATTAAAAATTGTTCTATTTTGAAATATTCTTCTATTTTATAGGATTAATGCTTTTATAGTGTTTGTACAAATTGAGGTTTTTAAGTTATACAGAACGTATCATTTTCATCATGAATTGTGGGTTACTGTTGTATAAGTATAATTTGGGATCTTTTCTTTTTTTACATTGTGTGGTTTTGAAATAGTCTTGTTTGCTGTTGTAAACCTGCGCTCACATATCGCACTGTTGTGTCCCTCTGTTTCATGTCAAATATTTTCACTATCTCAGGTTTTGTTACAGACCTTCTCACGATTGTATGACACATGTTCTGCCCTAGGGCTGCACGACTTTGGCACAAATATCTATTGGTGATTTTTCAGACATTTTTATTTTCCTTGGAGCGATGTGGCCGCTGTATTGGACTCTTGTGGGGATGTGGGAGCAGCGTCTACAGTCAAAGCTCTGGATGTACACCTCAGTCTAGGTTCCTACCCTCACCTCAAGAGGCAGGCACATGGGTTGCCCTCCAGAAGCTTGGTGTAGAAGCGACCCACGGGGAGACCACAGGACATGCTAAAGGGACTACGCCTTCCCCGGTTTAGCACGAGGAAGTTTGCGTTTGCGTACGTCTGGGCATCTCTGCTCAGATTTCCACAAATGTAGAAGAGGCAAGAATTTGGGATTTCAGATTGATGTTTTAAAAGTATTTAGTTCAAAATTACAATGCAAACAAGTCCATGAGAAGTTGATGGATTGAAAAGGACAGAAGAATCTTGTGAAGTTCTGGACATTTGGTTGAAATAGATAATTGTGATGAATCCTGCAGCCCTAATAGGTCCCTCTTTGCTCTAAATGTGCTTTTAACTGACACAATGCACATTCAAAGTGAAGAGTTTGTGTGTGTGGCTTTTCCTAGAAACACATTTTTGGAGTGAATAAATGTCATGTGTTTTTCAGCATCAGCGACACGTTTGAAGGACACCGTGTTGAACGTGTTTAAGCCTTGTTCCACCACTGACGTAGCTCACGTGTCACTTGCTGGTTTTTCTGTACATATATCTGCAGCTGTAGACGACAACGCTTCCAAACATCAATCATTTGTAATAGCATGTTAGCACATTTTTACTCCCCAGATTAAGCCATTGGTATTGTAGCGACTTGAGCATTGAGCAGTAGTTTCCACTTGAAATTTTAGACTTTGAGATAATATTGTTGGGTTGTGATTTATCCCTGTCTTTTTATGAAGGAAAATAAAAGGTGCTCTTGGCATTTACCTGAACTTCTTTATTTCTGAAGATATGTGGTGTATAAATAATGTCCACAGGCTAAATCCAAACCAGGGGGGGACAGATCTGCTTTGTCCTTTGAATTAGACCTTTTCTTTGGCTTTTCAGCAACAGGTTTGGTCGAGAAAATGTTTACCTTTACAATTATCTTGTTGCATTTTTAGGTCAAATGTAATGCTACACGGGTCAATTAAAGAGGAAGAACAAGGAGGTACAAAAAGAGGTATTTATTTCCCAGCAGATCAACTAAAAACCATTGATTATGTCATAGTTTTTGTCCTAGTTATTCCCATGTTTGAACATTTCCATACTTAGTTTTTTTTACAATTTTGGGTAAACAAACTACTAACAAAAAAACTAGAAAATGTACTGACTTTAGTCCGTCTGAATCATCTACTTTTGCCATCTTTGAAGGACTAAACAGAATTGGCTTGACAATAGAAGATTATGAAATCCAAAGGAATAAACAGTTATTGGACCAAAATTCACAGGAATAAGGCAAACTAAGAATAAGTAAATGACTTGAATGTTCCGGTTCTGGTTACCCTGCCGTTGTAGCGTATTCAAACAGACACATGGTCGAACTGTACAGAATTTATTATAATACAGTCTACTCATTAGTTTCAACAACAAAACTTTGTGCTCAGAGAAACAGTGACATCTAGCGGGTGCTTTTGACGGGACTCTTAAAACTGGAGGCGGCCTGCAGCTGCAGCTGGTAGGCCATGGGGTGGATCTTAAAACCGTAAAGTCTGGAAGAGGAGAATACAGGATTAGTAAACATGCAGTCATTTCAGAAAGTTCTTTTAACTCTAACTTGTAACTCATTTGTAAATATCATCACCAAACACAAAGTACTTCACCACATGTTTAGTAAAGGTAAAACAATGACCGCTGCAAAATATTTCAAACATGAGCTTGAAAATTTACATTGGAATTTGTTGTTAAATCTTTGGATAATGGGGTAAGATGACGAGAGGGACCAACACTCCCTTAGAAAGCAGAATTCTAACATTGGGATCTTATTAAAGACCTGTAAACAATATAATTTGACTGAGAAATTCCTAAAACTAATGTGGAGGCAGAAAATGGTTTTGTCTATATATTATCTTGTAAATATTCAACACAGAACATGGTGCAAAGAATTGATTAGGAGCATTCAGACAGAAGGGATGGGGGTTTGTGCCAGCAGCTCCTGACATTAGCGTGGGTGAAGCTAAAAACAACTCCAGTTCTGTCTTTACATGTTTAGACTGAGTGGTCACCTGGGCACAAACTGGTTGGCGGGTCTCTTGGGCCGGTACTCGGGGTGCACCATGTACAGCATGTGGGGGAAGCCTGTGCCGAAGTAGGCTCCGTCTGTGTGGTGGTGTTTGGACGACTTGGGTGTGTACACGTCCATGCACTTGGGACAGTAAAGCTTCACCATGGCTTCTCCGGGAATGTCTGACAGTCCTGAGGTCGAGAAGGAGGAAAAGAGCTCACTTTTATTACATTGTGACGCAGGCGTGTGCACAACGAAGACGAAGATGATGACGGCCATGTTGTAAAAATGATAGCTATTTTTATACTAGTTAGCAGAATAACCCACTTTATAGATGCTATTTGTTTAGAATATACATGAGCAATCTGGTTTTGGGTGAGCTCTATATTTTTCAAACACTTTTTTATAAATTAAATTGTGCTAATAGAAGATAAGTCTATAAGCAAAATATGTCTTATATGCTAATTATCTACATTATTACCTCCACCAGGGGGCAATGTTACCACCAAGATTTAATAGTCTAAGTCAGTGTCTCCCAAAGTGGGGTCCGCGGCCCCCTGGTGGGCCGCGAGGGTACTGCAAGGGGGCCGCGGGAGGTCATAAAAAAAAAAAAAATAATATAATTATTTAATGTTAAATTTATAATGTTGTGTTTGTAATATTAAAATATTTGTGTTCATTATTTGACTTGAATAATCCACTGTAATCATTTTTGTATTACAATGTTTGTAGCAGAGGCTATTTCCTCAAAATAAAATAACCAGAAGAGCCTATTCTTAATGTTGTCTTCTTGGTTATTATTTTGGGGGGCCACGCAGACCCGTCAGATTTTTAAGGGGGCCTCGGTGTTACTGAGTTTGGGAATGGCTGGTCTAAGTAAATTCAAACCAGTTTTGGGCCAATTTTTATGACAGTAAAGTAATACGACATGGAACAAATCTGATCCAAAAGTGAACCAGATAGCCGTCTGGATTCAGGATTTTGGTTTAAATGGAATTATTTGTAGAGATACGCTCTCTAAGGGTGATTTTCTAGTACTTCCATATTCAGTCTTGTCTATCTTGCTCTGTGGAACATGGTCATATCAAATCCAAGGGGATAATAAAATATGACCTGTATGCTGCATATACACACATGAAAAAGGACAACTTGGTCAAAAGCTGTGAAATCCGACTGGATGACTGAAGGTGTGGAGCAAACAAATATGAAACATACCAATAGGTAGCATGGTTTGGTTTTCACAATAGACTCTCGGGCAATGTCCAAAATCTCCCTGTTGATACTTTTCCAACTGGAGAATATGGGAAGAATAAAAGATAAGATGCATTAGAATAAAAGAACAAACCAAAGTGTTGTGTTATTGGCGTACCATTTGTGCGATGCCTCTGTTGGTGAGGATGTACCGTGCATGTATGAGGCCATAAAGCATTTCTGCCGCCTGCTCGATCAGGTCGCTCTGGTTTGGGTTGTCTTCTAGCTCCTCATCTGTGCAGTAAGGAAAATAATGTTAATGCAAAGATTATTTTTAATTTTTTATGTCCCAATAACAAGTACAGCTGCACAAAGCAATTAAAAGGGAACAGAGGACATGAAGTGATATTTCCACCTTGTTGTGATCTCGTTATCACAATGCAAATAAATAGTATGTTTTTGTCAATGATGCCAACAATGTGGCATTAAGATATGAAGTCTGACCTGGTTCTAAGTCCAGGATCATGTCCAGCGCTTGTCGATAGTGTGGGACCTGCTCATTCAAGCCGGTCAGGTTAAACTTGTCCTGAATGTAGTCTTCATCCACCTATCGAGGACAGACCAAGTTTATAGTTAGTTATTATAGGCTAGACACAAGTACAAATGATTACATTACACCTTTCATTTGTGTGTTACATTTAAACAGGTAGCTTTGTGTTTACATGTGAAGCTGCAGCCCACAAGTCTCTGCTGCAGTTTGTTTCATGTGGTGCTGAGTATGCCATTAAAACTAAAATGTTATTTCAAGTAGAACATTATTCTATTCTAATTATTCGTGGGACTGACAATTTAGATCAAATTGTCAGTCAACTAATTATTTAAGATCAATTGCAGGTTTACACAAAACCGCTAAAAATGGATGAGATTTGATTTTAAATGTATGTTTTGTTAGTACAGTTTTTATCAGATAATTATTTGAAGCATTCGCCAGGCCCCCTTTTAGTTGCCTAATCGATGGACAAGGTAAATATTTGGTCACAGTCAAGAATTTATTTGGTCGACTAATTATCTACTACATGAAACACACTCATGTCAAAAATACAGGTAATATGCGTTTAAGGATGCTTTGTGGAAAATAAAAACATGTTTATCGTTTAGTTTATAGACTATTAGTAAAAAACTATCAATACATGATTTACATTTTCCACCAAACAAACAGAATAACCAGGATAATGATGTAGTGCGGTTGGATATGTAGATGCAGGAGATGGAACCCACCTCGCAGAAGAACTCGTTCCCCCTCAGACCACAGAACCAGGAGATCCAGGACACCTCCTCTGAGCTGCTCATCCTGACGCACAGCAAACACACACCATCTTTAATCTCAGTCTCGCTGCAGCACAGGCCTCATGCACATTATTTAGTAGCGTGTGTGCAAACATTTGGCTGCTGTACTTTGTCACGTCAATAAGCAGGACTTGCACCTCCACAGACTTGACTCGGACTTATCCCGAGGGAAGGCCTGATCGTATGACTATAATATTATACAGTGATAACAAAACTGGTCTATCTCCGGGAATTAAGTCTTGAAACATGGTATACATTTTTTATGAACTCAAAAAAGCACCAACAACTAATCAAAGAGGAGTAATAACATAATAACAGAGTCAGCAGGCTGGACTACTATATGCTAATGCTAACATGCTAACGTGCCGAACCAGTCCGTGTAACGTAGAACTTCCTTTTATATACGAACTAAAGGCTTCTCCTAAACGTAACAAATTTACATCGTACAGCACCCAACAGCGACACATTGTTACCTTAAATGGGGAAATCAGGTCATATATCAAGTTAGTGGTAGTTTCTCTTCCTGATCCAGGCAATGAGCAGCGGCGCTTCTTTCCGGCCACTTCCGGATTCTCTTCAAAATAATATTTGTTTATTTTATTAATTTGTATTAATTGTGGAGTAATATTATCATCTCTATAGTCTATTCTAGTTGCTTTAACCAAAAAGGTAAGATTATTCTATTATATACTCATATTATGATATTAATGTGACATCACAGACAGACCCCAGATGGTGAGAACCAGGGACTTTGTGTCCTGCAGACACAAAGTGTGGATGCTCCCCAGGGGACCGTCCTCGCGTCGTTCCTCTTCACTCTCCACACTGCGGACAACATGGACGGTTGTGTCCTACAAAAGTTCTCTGCCATCATCAGACTCATCACAGAGGACTAACACAGGATTCTTTGTGGACTGGTGTCAGCGGAACCACCTCCTCATCAACGCGGGGAAGACTAAGGAGATGGTGGGAAGGGATATTGAGAGAGTGGACTCTCACAAGTACCTGGGTGTTCATCTGAACCACTAACTGGACTGGACTCATAATACAGACGCCCTCTTTGGACCAGAGCCGCCTCTACCTCCTGAGGAGGCTCAGGTCTTTTGGAGTGCAGGGGCCACTCCTGAAGACCTTCTATGACTCTGTGGTGACATCAGCCATCTTTTACGGTGTGGTCTGCTGGTGCAACAGCATCACAGAGAGGGACAGGAAGAAGCTGGACAAGGTCATCAGGAAGTCCAGCTCAGTCCTGGGCTGTTCCCAGATCCATGGCTGTTCCCTGGACACAGTGTAGCAGGTGGGGGACAGGAGGGTCCTGGACAAACTAACATCTATGCTGGACCAGCTGCAGGACACTCTTTCTGCTCTGGAGAGCAGTTTCAATGACAGACTTATTCACCTTAGCTGTGTGGCGAGATTCCACAAGTCTTTCCTTCCTGCTGCTGTCAGACTGTACAAAGAGAACTGCTGAGCCTGTACATGTCATTCATTTGTATATAAGCAAATACTGCAATCATGTGCAATACTGCAACTTCAGAATGTCTACTATATGTCACTTTATCTACTGCCCTTTATGTATTTGCACTATATATCTGTAAATGTCCCTAATGGGCTATATGCACGGGGAGGCGTGACGTCATTTCCTGTTAACACAGATCAGCCCGTTCACTTCCTGCCTATGCTATCCTATGGCTTTTAGGTGGGTTTTAGTGACGTTTTTTAGTAATTAGATTGATACATTCAGCTGTGAGACTGACCCAAAAGTGTCGCTGTGCCTTCTCTCTGAGGTAGAGCGTTATAAAAACACAATGACAGCACAATCAAAGAGCACTGCTTTGTCCCAAAAATTCCCAGTATCCTCACAGTTTAATTCCCGTTTGAGCATTATGTGGGAAACTCGTGTAAACTACTGCTGAACTCCAGTCAAACTCAAGCCGTTTCCCGCGAACAGGAAGTGAAGTGGGATAGTAGCTAAAACGGGGAAGTGGTGCGTGCATTGAGCCCATAGCTCTCATTTTGCCTCGATAATACTGCCATCTATTGGTGAAACTGAACGATGCTAATTAGGCCCTAGCCTTAGGCCCAAGCCCCGAACGGGATAAGGGTCGATTGCTTTTACAATGCTGAATGCAAGGGGTGGCGGTGACGCGTCCGTCACTCACCACAACGTGACGGTTGCGTGCGTAACCTCAAACGCTTTAAAATGATGTATCACGTGCCATTGAAACCAATATTCTTTTTGCTCGAGACGCTGAAAAAAAATTCCTTGGTTTCTTTATTTTTTCTTTTGCACTTTGAGCCTTAATTTGAACCCCTGAACATGCACGAAAAGTTGTTGAATTTTGCCCAAAAATTTGATATTTTGGTGTTTATTTTTATGGGACTCAAAAAATGCTCAAGTTTGTCGTAGAGCCGTGAAATTCAGTACACATGTTCCTCTAGTCAAGACATGAAAAAAAATATTATTATTGCCCCGCCCTCTGACAAACAGGAAGCCCATACATTTCACTGCAGTTCAGGACCTCAGACACAAAGTCCCTGGTTCTCACAAACTGGGGTCTGTCTGTGAGGTAGTCCAGGATCCACTCAGACAGGTTGTAGTCAACCCCAGCTGTCTCCAGCTTGTCCCTGAGAAGCCGCGGCTGGATGGTTTCGAAGGCGCTGGAGAAATCAAAGAAGAGGGTTTCTCCAGGTGGGACAGCGAGCAGTGGATCGACTCCGATGCTCGGCCAGTACACGAACTGCAGTGGGTCCATTGTTGGGCTCAGAGTGGAGCGGAGATGCCCCAAGACCAGTCTCTCCAATGTCTTCATGCAGTGGGATGTAAAGTCTGAAGTTGCTGAGGTCTTTGACCTCGGCTGCTGGTGACATATTGTCAAGAAAGTAGCCTGTGAGTCACCAGTTGACGTTTTGGGCAGAGAGCTGGTGTTCCTCTATTTTTCCCTTCTTGATCAATAAGTTGACAGTGGCTCCACAAGACCTGCAGGTGGAAACTAAAAAGTAAGGATTAAACAATACTGTCAATAATTTAAGTTAGGGCCCGACTTGTAATCTTACTGGATGCTCCAGACACACCTTTTTAGACTAGCTTTTGATTAGTTTTTATTATTTTTATTAAAACATTTTACATATTCTATTTATGTCTTAAAGAAACTTAGTTAATGTTTAACTTTTTATTGTATGTTATAGTATCCCTAGGGGTTCCTCTGGAGGAGCCCTCTGCACTGGGAGCAGTGGTCTCCTGTGGCTTTGGGGGCCTGGCTCTGGGGGCCTGGCTCTGGGACCTGGTGGAGGTCTGCAGCCTCCTCTGAGTCCTGTGTGGGTCCCTTGTGGCTGCTGATGACTTCTTCAGCTGGTTCCTCATAAACCTAGCCTTATATATTTTACTGGTTGCATCTATGGTTTAAATATAACATTTTGCTGAAATAAGATTTGGTCTGAGATTACTGCTACAGGCTTCAAACTAAACAATAACACACACAACTGAGACGACTACTGACATGTGTGAGAAAATGCTACTGTAGATAGATAGATACTTTATTGATCCCCGTAGGAGAAATTCAGGTGTTGTGTCAAATGTATGTATGGATTTTATATTTAGTGATGTCATACCAATGAGAGGATGTATTGTCTGTAAGATACATGAGATGTGTTGTTTGTGTTATTGTAGTTACTGCAGATCTGAGTAGCTATAATCGGGTGCAGAACATATCTGTCTTTGAATCTAATTTTACTGTTTCCCAAATAAATATTTATTTATCTACTTAAAGCTGAGAGCCGAGCGGATCAGGTGAAAATCCACAGGAGGAAAGCTAACTTTTTGAAAAATGCTAATGAAGCATTTAGCATTTTACTTTGGACTAGAGCAGAGAAAATGGTCCGAACCAAGCGGCTACTCCACCTTGTGACCTGTCCAGCTCCACCCAGAGGCTACACCACCTCTGCTGCTGTGACCTGAAGGGCTGTTGCTGATTATTACTATTGTTAGCTTTTTAGAATGATCAATTTTATATTTTATTTTTTGCTGCTACTGGACATCTGAATTTCTCCTACGGGGATCATTGAAGAATCTATCTATCTTGACTCAAATAAATGGCAGCTGACAGTTTTACAGACTCTTGATGTATATTTAAACCCCTAATTTAATGACAATTGGGCCCGTTTGAAATAATAAAGGCTTTTCCCCTCTTTTTTTAATCTTGGAAGGTAAAAAAAAAGTGTGTTATAGGATTGGGTGGGATATGCTCAATGTAATTTTTTGTTCAAATATGGATGTTTTTGGATCTAAAACACTGACCTAAACACTGAAATGAAGACATATATACAAGTATTAAAAGACTCAAAGATTTATTGTCAAGTTTTTCATCCTCAATTATAGAGTGGGGGTGGGGAGTGAGGAGCAGGAGCACAGGGAGGGCAAGTAAAGGAGGGAGTTCAGCGTCCTGATCGCCTTCTCCCTGAAGGCATTACTTTGAGGGGCTGTTAAGGGTGCGTAGGGTCCCAGGTAATTCTGACGGCTTTGGGAGTGAGACAGGTGGAGTGTCCTGAATGCAGGAAATCCACAGATCTTCTCAGTTTCTCTCACAATGCACTGGAGGCTCCTGCAGCAGGTGGCAGAGCTGGCATCGTGCTACACAGTGATGGAGCTGGTCAGGATGCTCTCGAGTCTCTGCAGAAGTTGCACATAACCGAGACTGGGACTCTGACGCTTCTAAACTTACTGCCAAAGCCCAGACGCGGATTACGTTTGTGGACCAGTGATGTAGTGTGCATGGTCCAGGAGAGGTCCTGTGTGTGCACATCAGGAACTTAGTGCTGGTCCCCCTCTCCACTGGGGACTGTTGATTGCTACAGGAGCATGGTGGACCTGCACTCTTTGAAAGTCCAAAACAAGGTCTTTTGTCTTGTCCACATTTAGAGAGAGATGGTTCTAGTGCACCACATGGGCAGACTGCTCTCCTCACTCCTGCAGTTTGCCTTGTCTCTGTTGCTGAGGAGTCCCCACTGCTGTGTCATCAGCAATACTGATGCAGATAGCACCAGTAGTCCTTGACGCTGGAGAGTGGGGACCTCTTTGGTGCTGGAATGATGATGGTGTCTTTGAGGTGCACTGGGACCACAGATGCAGAGATGAGTTAAACATGTCAATGTGAAGACTTCAGAATATTCATCAACCTTTCAGTACACACCTTGTGTTTGCATCCGGCCTTTTGCGTAGATTGATCCTACTCAGATCTTCTTTCACTTTCTGAAGCTTCAGCATCTGGTCTTCTGGGGGTGGACTTTTGTTCCAACTGATTAACTGGGAACTGCTCAAGAGCTCTGGGATAACGATGGTCCTCGTTCTGTAGCTTAGGTCCTGGATCTATAGCCCGTCTGTCCGTGTGGAGCGGATCCCTCTCTCAATGTGGATCTCCCCGAGGTTTTTCACTTTCTCCCACTGGGTTATAGATTTTTTTCCTTGCCGATGCAGGAGGGTCCGTCGGACAGTTAGTGTCAAACAAGAGGGACTGTGGTGATGATCCAGGACACTTTAACATTCTACAACACGTATGGACATTTATCAACATTCATGGACATTGGTCTCTCCCTATGAACCAATTCATATGATTTTGTGTGTGTCTTAACTGTTGATTCTCTGATCTGTGTTGGTGATTTCAATGGTTCTGTTAAGTCCTCTGAGACGACTACTGTTGTGATTTAGGGCTATGCTATAGAAGAATAAATTGTGTTGTGTTGTGTGTAACGAGCAGATAGAAAACATGTATCTTTAAGAGCTGCCACTTGCTGATCACCGCAAACAATTAGTCCCTCAAAGTAAGCAGATTCTGTCGTCCTGCATACACATGTTGTGAATATTTAATAAACACATTTACGTTAAAAGGTCTTTTTATACCTTGAAGGCTTAATAAAACCATAGTTTTCTGTTTCCATCAACAGCCATGTCTGGCACACATGCAGGGCAGGAGGACGAGTTCATTTGAAAGGTTTTATCCGTTTCATGGTCCACCATCGGCCGTTCAACAGAACAATGACAAAAGGTATCGCTGCATACCTTGACCTTCTGTAGATAAAACAAACAAGGATTAATGGGACAATCGGTATATCAAAACACATTTAAATGACAAGGTTGCTAACATAGAAATAAAAACAATTCAAAGGTTTCTCCTTGGATAAAAGCTGATTAAAGTGTTGGCGTGTTCACCTGTTTGTCAAATATAAAATCTAAAGTGACACCGAGGCTGCTGCTGAAGTGGGTCCGTGTCGGTGAGGGCTCAGTGTTGCCAAACACCATCACCTTTGCTTTCCCCTCATTCGGACATAACAAGATGTGGACGAACCATGGGGTTTGAGTGACAGTCGTCCGCATAAAAGTGGAAAGTATTCAACACATTGCCAGTTAGGAAGATGTTAAAGAAGGTTCTTCTTGTAATAAAGTGGGAGCAGACACAAACAAAACAATGATTTACCTGTGTTTGAGATGAAAACAAGGATATTAGCCTCCTCCTCCACTCCCCTCTCCACTCTCTGCTCTCACTCTCTGACCTCACGGGAACAAAACACATTCATTCACTGGACTCCATGTACAGATAGAATAGACTTCTGTACCTGTGCTGTATATTCTTTGTTTGAGCCATTTTCAATGTTTTTCACTTGAAAATGACTTTTCACTCTAAAAAAAACTGAAAAACAATGAATAAATGAGTGATTCCTTAAAGTAATGTGACTGTAATTCATCAATACTCACCTTGTTTCCCTGAACAGCAAAGACACCTGCAAAAGAAGCTATGCACCACACAACAATCCACACACAATCTTATAAAAACATTTGTCTTTTTAAAGGGGATCAAACAAGGATCCAAAAAATGTACAACACAAGAACAATGACAAACTCAAGTTGTAAAATATTTTTTTTGGTTATTTTTTGTTTTTTTAAAAGGGGATCAAACATGGATCCAAAAAATGTACAACAACAAACTGAACTTAGTAAAATATTTTTGTAGTTTTGTTCAAAGGGGATCAAAAAAGGATCCAAAAAATATACAAACTATTTACAAAGTGATACTTAACCCTTCACCGAGACACAGCTCCTGTGGATCCCAGCTCTGCTTCTGCTCCTCCAAAGAAACAAAAGACAGAAAGGATCAGTTCTTAAAAATAGAAGGAGTACTTGTGTGTTATCGGTGGAATAGGCCTCTGCGGCTCACATGACCTTTTCTGCTCCTTCCAGGGCAGCTCCCGCTCCTGCAGGTACGCCTCCATCTGCACCACCCAGTCCGGGACAGGTCCAGGGAACAGCGGGGCAGGCTCCGGCTGCGGAACAACAGGATCAGGACGAGGAGGAGAAGACTTTCGTTTGCATTTACGGAAGCTAGGAGGAGACTCAGGGGGAGGAAGAGGAGCAGCAGGGTGCCAAGCAGAAGGAGCAGAGGAAAGCTTAGGGCGCTTTGCAGGAGGAGCAGAGGAACAGGAGGCAGGAAGAACAGAGGAAGACTTAGCAGGAGGAGCAGAGGGGCGCGGGGCAGGAAGAGCAGAGGAAAGCTTAGCAGGAGGACCAGAGGAAAGCTTAGCAGGAGGAGCAGAGGGGCGCGGGGCAGGAGGAGCAGAGGAAAGCTTAGCAGGAGGAGCAGAGGGGCGCGGGGCAGGAGCAGCAGAGGAAAGCTTAGCAGGAGGACCAGAGGAAAGCTTAGCAGGAGGAGCAGAGGAGTGACCAGCAGAAGGAGCAGAGGAAGACTTAGCTGGAGGACCAGCTAAGCGCCAAGTAGGAGGGGCAGAGAAGCGCCAAGCAGGAGGAGCAGAGGAGCGCCAAGCGAGAGGAACAGAGGTAAGCTTACGTTGCTTACGAGAAGAGGCAGAGGAAAGCTTAGAACGCTTAGCAGGAGGAGCAGAAGGACGCGGAGGAGGAGGAGCAGGAGTAGGAGGAGGAACAGAAGGGCGAGGGAGGAGAGAAGAAGAAGAGTAGTGAGAGACCCTCCCAGAACCAGGAAACTTGGCAGAGCTGCCAGGCATCGTGTGAGCGAGAAACTTAGCTTAAAAGCAGAGTCCTCAGCAGGAGGTGTGGAGGCCTGATGGAGACCTGATGGAGTCCTCAGCAGGAGGTGTGGAGGCCTGATGGAGGAGGAGCACAAGGATCTGTGCAGGAGGAACAGAACATGTCAAACATCACTGATAACAGCTGCTTCATTTGAAGGTTTTCTGTCAACATGTGCCTTCACTTTTCCATGAGATAAAGAGGAAACATTATGCATTATTTGTGGCCTTTCGTGGTGTTTTGGGAGATGTTTAAACCAATTCACATGTGTTGAGTTCACCAATAATTGGCCTACCTCACTGTCATCACCATTTATTCATTTTCATCCCCTTCATTCATCCATTTCTGGATCAAGGGGTTTCAATCAGAGGTCTCAGTGCTACTAGGACTTCATACTATTACAGGACTGAGACTGGAGCTGTCAGACAGAAGGGGCGGAGTTACATGTTTGTGCCAGACGTTCAGCGTGGATGGATCTAAAAACCACTCCAGGTCTGTTTTTGACGAGGACAGTGTTGCATCATGGTTCATATAAGTTGATTAGAGTAAATATTGTGGCTTCAGGTGGATCAGGTCGTTTGAAGAATGAGATGTCTTCAAGTTTCAAATAGATGTGTTTCTTTTGTTATAAATGTTACATTTAGTTTGTCTCAACAGATAAAGTCTTGTAAAAGTAAATGATTATTAGACATTTCATCTTTTGTATAGAAAGAGATCTGTGAGTCGTTGTTTGATGCTTTGGGCTGATTGGCTGAAAGAGGATGGTCCTCTCTTATTCACTTTTGTAAAGTCAAAAACACAGACGTGTGAAAACTAGTGAGGGAACCAAACTGTTTAAGAGCGAGGGACGAGTTAGAAGAATGTATTTGCAGAGTTCTTTGTGTGTGGTTTGAAAGTCACGCTTGTAGATGTTTAAGAACCATTTGGACTGAATATGACAGGTCTGCCAGACTGAGTAATCTTCTCAATAACAGACTTATTCATTCAAAATCACATGGATTATAATCTCCATTTACAGACTAATAGTTTCACTGAACTGGCTGAAATGTAATCAGAGACAACAGTAGATACATCACTGCTGCGGCTGAAAAGGACCTTTTTATGAAGCAGAAACCTGTCTGTGATGTGGGTTTGTCACTTTAGACTCATCCTCAACATCTGTATGGCACAGCTTTCATGTAGCTTAAGAACTTTAAATATCCCTACACTTATTATGACTATTACTCTCTGTATACCTTCTTTAGACATGGATCAAAGTGATCTTTGTTGCTATTTGGCTACTGTGAGGCCAAACCCATAGGGACTAAGGTGAACAGGGAAAGTGGAAAAGCTCACGTTTTTTCCTCAGAAAAGTCTTGTAGTTGTGGTCAGGAGTGGGTCAGCAGCAGTCTGGGTGGAAATGGTCTGCAGTGATGTTTCCTGTTTGAAGAAATCGTCGAGTGAAGTTGATAAATTGAGTTTGTGTTCAGCCAAAGTTTTGCACGGATGCAGTGATTCAAAAGATGCACTGGCCCTAGCAACGCCACCTAGCAACAAGAAGGCAGGTGCGCGTGCTCATCTTGCATGTACGAGCTGCAGTGATTCTAAATATGCTTATTCATTTTATTTCGGACATGTGAAGAAGGTTACACATGACATTTGACACATGATAATGGCTCCCTCTGCTGGTGAGCGTCTGCGGCCTGCGGATGCTACCATGGACAGCTCAGTCATCAGATGCAACAAGAAACCTTTTATAAATAATACTTTTTTCTTTGCAATGGCGCCCACAGCTTACTTTGGGTCCAACACTGACTTTTTCTTACCAGCACACTGATCAAAGAGGCAGGTTAAAATGTTGAGAGACATAGGTTGATAATTCATATCTTTTTAGTTAACACAATTTCACTATCAGATGTTAGACTATTAACTTTGTGAAGTAACTTAACATTAACTGGAAAACACATGTTTGAAGAACTAAGATGCATTCAAACAAAACAAATTGATCCATGGAATAGAATTTCTATTAAAAAATGTACAGTCCATATTGATTGATTTTTTATTTATGTATTGTTCTCGCTCTAACTGATGTTTTGTATAAGAATCACTGCAATAAGTTACTGCCTCATGGATACAGATAATGAACCTGCCAAGGTCTATAAAGAAGAGCTAAGCTGTGGTCCAAATCATGAGCATCTAAACCAGTTTCTTCTGCATTAAAGTTACATTTGTAACATCCCTATCTTATTAAAATAATACTTTTTTTCTTTGTAATAGTATCAACAGGACACTTTGGGTATTACGTTGACTTTTTTCTTGTGTGACTAAGGTGAACGGGGAAAGTGGAAAAGCTCATGTTTTTTCCTCCGAAAAGTCTGGTAGTTGCTGCTACATGTTTGAATACAGAGACTGTACTGTACTTAATGATCTTTGATTGCCTTGGATGCAACTTGAGTATAGGATGTTGACCAGATGTTGACCAGATTGGAAACTGTGTCTCAGATCATATGTTCCTGACCTGTGGAGTCCCACAGGGGTCGATCCTGGGACCCCTTCTGCTCAATCTCTACATGCTGCCGTTAGGTCAGTTAATACGCAGAAACAAAGTGTCCTATCACAACTATGCAGACGACACTCAGATCTATGTCTCACTGACTGCAGGAGAACATGGACCAGTGGACTCACTCCTTCACTGTATCCAACAGATCAGTGAGTGGATGCAAAACAACTTCCTTCAGCTAAACGCAGACAAAACTGAAATGATTGTCTTTGGTCCCCAGAAACAAAGAGAGAGCGTCATCTGTCACCTCCAGTCTCTCTCCCTAAAACCTTCAAACAAGGTCAGAAATCTAGGAGTATTACTGGACTCAGACTTAAATTTTAATAGCTACATCAAATCAGTAACATCAGCAGCTTTTTACCATCTAAAAAACATTGCCAGGATCAAAAACATAGTGTCTAAAGCAGACTTGGAGATTCTTATCCATGCATTTGTCTCCAGTAGGTTAGACTACTGCAATGGCCTGCTCACAGGTCTGTCCAAACAGGCTGTAAAACAGCTACAGTACATTCAAAATGCAGCAGCTCGAGTCCTGACTAGAACCAGGAAGTACGACCACATTAGTCCAGTTCTCAGGTCTCTGCACTGGCTTCCTGTGGCTCAGAGAATAGACTTTAAAACAGCTCTGCTTGTGAACAAATCTCTCCATGGCCTCGCACCAAAATATATTAGTGACATGTTAGTACCATATGAACCAGCCCGGACTCTGAGGAGCACAGGGACTGGACTCCTGTTAGTGCCCAGAGTCAGAACTAAACATGGGGAGGCTGCTTTTCAGATTCATGCTGCTAAAATCTGGAACAGTCTTCCTGAAGATGTGAGACAGGCCTCCTCTCTGACAATGTTTAAAACCAGGTTAAAAACGGTTCTGTTTAGCTGTGCATACAACTGAGGGATTTTATATTTTTATCTTTCTTTTTAATGTTCTGTTATTATTTATGATTTTAATGCTTTCTTATTTTGTTCAGCACTTTGAATTGCCTTGTGTATGAATTGTGCTATATAAATAAACTTGCCTTGCCTTGCCTTGACCAATCCTGCTTTTGTTTATAAATTGTGCTCAATTTTATTCTATGCGGTGCCACTGGTTTGTTTCATGCATATATGTATCCAGAGGATGTGACTTGTATGTCTATGTTTTTTAAAGTACTAATTTAAGAAATATTTGAATAGGAAGCGTGTTGTTTGTCTGGTCTATTTAAAAAAAAAGATAACTTGTCCTTTCCTATTGTTGAGAAATAGTTCATTACTGACCCTTTTTTCATTGTTTCTGAATAAACAGAAAATGATGTACCTACTGTAAAGCTATGAAATGTTTTACAGAGTGAGAAGAAAACAACTGAGATGTGTTTCCAATATAATGGTTCAAATACAGATAAAGATGAAATAAGCTGCTTGTACCTTTATGTAACCCCTATTAATTTGGTCAGTACAATCTTTTTTTTTTCATTCATTTTATTTTTTACTTGCATAGTGAATGCAAATGGTCTGTTTAGACGTTGTTTTTGAAAAGTTTTACCATGCGTCACCAGCAGAGGGCACTTGACGCCATACGAACTATATTTCGTAGCCACGTGAGTCACGCTAAAGACTTGGAAAGAAACGTGGCAGGTAAACATGAGGTTTCGGTTGCAAGTTTAAGAATTGTATAATGATATTGTGTTTTTCTTCTGCAAACCCCAGTTCACACTGGTAAAGCCTTACTGATATAGCTCATCCCTGCAGACTCTGCAGAAAGCAGAGAAGAGAAGTAGCTATTGCTAACCCTGCTAAGCTAACGCTAGCCCCTGAGCTATCATTTTGATGTCTATAAAACCAATCGGAGAAAACTGTGAATAATTCTGTATTTTGTGATAATTGAAAATGATGTTTTGATGTATCAACTGTGGTTTACTGTCAATGTGGTTTGAGGCCTATGCAATATTTATTTTATTGTAAACTGTATTAGTTGATTTTTTGAGACAAATGCAAGCTTGTTATTAAGATAGAGAATGAGAAAATCCTGTATGTGAACTGTTAGTAATTTGCTCATTTAATATGCAGGTTGTTTTTTTTTATTGTGAGAGACTACGGTTGAGGACCTGCTGCCTTACCTGGACCTTACATGATCCTGAGCACTGGGACCCACCTCACCACATTTTGAGATCCAGATAAGAGTGAAAAGGAACCATATGGCCATTTGACTAAAAACGACTTGACTGACTAAAAAACGAACTGAGAAGAACAAATAACTGGAGATTGCTACCCACTTTACAAAGACAATTATAACAACACAAAACCAAAGGGTGGACACTTTATTTTCTTTTTACACACAAATACTATTTTTTGTATTTTATTTTTACTCTCATTGTATTAAACAAATACATTATTTGTTGGCGAGCCAGCCAGGAGAATATTAAGCCAAACGCTTATTGTTTGATATATTTAAAGTGAAAACATTTTTTTTGTCTCCCCGAGACACAGAATGGCTTCAGTTGTTGACATTGAACACAATCATGGTGTAAATGCCAAAAGATCTGCCCTTTTGCAGGGCATTACTAACAATGATACAGATCAAGATATTGTAGAGGCTGTCGCTACGTTTGGTAATGTTATTAAAGTAGTGAGGCCAAGTCAGTCACAAGCAATTATCGAGTTTGATTCAGAAGAGACGCTTAGGAATATTAGCTTTCCTTCTGATATACTGAGTCCGGATGATCCCACTGACAAATGGTGCTTAGATAGCATTGAAATCTTACTATCCCCCACACTTACTGACTTGAACGCAGAGCCAAGTTCCTCAATTCAGGTTGACGAGGACAGTCAAGACAGTGGGGCAGTTGACTCAGATAGTAGCAGGGCGACTGTTGTGTCAGTACCAGACACCACACCGCAAAAGAACCCTGTGCAGACACCACACCGCAAAAGAACCCTGTGCAGACTGAACCGAGACATGATGGAGCTGTAAAAGCCAAAGCAAAGACAAAACATGCCCCAGGCATGACAGCAAAACCAAGAGAAAGACCCAGACCTAATCCTTCTGCATTTGATTCTGACATATTAAACCCTCAAGATGTGCAACGCATAATAGTGGAGCATGTGATTAAAAGTTTGAAAGTTTGAAAAAATTGAAAGTTTCTTCAGGCATTGGCTCCAAGAGACTGCGCTCCTTCTCAGGCAGGGTGCCTAAACCGCTTGGTGAAGTAGACTTTGAGACATGGTGTTTACATGTTGAACTTATGTTCCAGGATGGTTTCTCCACTGACATGCAGAGGCGGCTGATACTGGAGAGCCTGCTGTCACCGGCAGCAGACATAGTGAAACAGTTCGGGTCCACTCCTTTCCGCAAGAGTATGTAAAACTTCTCCAGTCAGCCTATGGTCTTGTTGATGATGGGGAGGAAATCTTTGCAAAATTCCTCAGTACTCACCAAGATGCAGGTGAGAAAGCATCGGAATACATTCAAAGACTACACACACACCTCGTATGGCAGTCAAACGAGGTGGTGTAAGCAAGGCAAATGCAAACCGACAGCTTTACAAACAGTTTGTGCGAGGTTGTTGGGACCAAACCCTCCTCCTCACCCTTCAGCAAAGATTAAAAAGTGAACCTGCTCCAGACTTTTCAGAGCTCCTCCTTGAACTCAGAACAGAAGAAGAGAGACGTTCATTAAAAGCAGACAGGATGCAGCGTCACTTTGGAGGTTTTAAAACAAAACCCCTCATACAGTTTCAAGGAATCCCTGAGCCTGCTCCGACCACAACCAGTGTTAAAGATATAATGCAGAGATATATAACAGAAACAGAAAACTTGAGAAAACAAGTGAAAGATCTACAAGTGCAGTTAACAGAGAAAAGAACTCAAAGACGGAAAAAACAGGAACAAAAGCCAGCTGTTTCTGTAAGTGCGCCATCTCCGACTGTAGCTGAGCTCCAAGCACACCAGCAAATGCCAAAATTCAAGATTCAAGATTAATTTATTATGTCACGTAGGAAATTTGTCTTGGACTCACAGGCTGCTACATCGAAAATACACATAAGACAGACATAAAACACAACACAGTAACACCGACATAAACCATCACCGCTCTGCTCGATGGCCTGCATTCAGGAGGTTGACAGAAATGGGTAGGAATGGGTTCTTATACAGGTTTAGATATTGTTTCCTATTTCTAGTGGGTACTCTGTAGCGGCGGCCTGATGGGAGGAGCTTATATTGAGAGTGGAGGACATGGGAGGGGTCTGAGGTGATTTTCCTGGCCTGTCTTATTACAGTCTCCTCAAATATCTGCTGCAAAGATGGATGCTCCCTAACTCCCATGACTTTAAAGGCTGTGCGCACTAATCTGTAAAGTTCTGCTTTTGTTTTAACAGTCAAATTCCCAAACCACACACACATACCATATCTTATTACACTCTCAATTACAGCATGATAAAATAGCGTCATTATTTTCTGTTCAACTCCAAAACGTCTCAATCTCCGCAGGAAATAGAGTCTTTGTTGAACCCTTGTTGAACCCTGCTGCAGACAGAGTTCACGTGTACATCCCAGACCAGACTTGTATCGATGTGGACTCCCAGGTATTTATATGAGTGTACCTGTGTTACCGCTGAGCCATGGATGGAGAGCGGAGAGTGATTTCCAAGATGTCCGGGGTCAAAGATGATTTCTTCTGTCTTCTTTACGTTGATGATGAGATGGTGGTCCTCGCACCAGTCTGTGTCCTTGTCCATGAGTCCTAATAAAACAGTGCCATCTGAAAACTTGATGATTAAAGTGCTGGAATGGCCGCTGGTGCAGTCGTTTGTGTACAGTGTGAAGAGGAGCGGTGAGCTGACACAGCCCTGGGGCGCTCCTGTGTTGATGGTCTTCATGTCAGACAGTGTATGGTTCACTCTAACCTGCTGGCTCCTGTTGGAAAGGAATGAGTGATACCATCGGATTATGTATGGGTTGACGGACATTTGTTGAAGTTTTTTGAGAAGGATGTGTGGTTGCAGAGTGTTAAACGCTGTGAGCTGAAGTCGATAAACAGCAGCCTGGCATATGCTTTAGGGTGTTCCAGGTGTCCAAGTCTTTGGCGTGACTCACGTGGCTACGAAATATAGTTCGTATGGCGTCAAGTGCCCTCTGCTGGTGACGCATGGTAAAACTTTTCAAAAACAACGTCTAAACAAACCATTTGCATTCACTATGCAAGTAAAAAATAAAATGAATGAAAAAAAAAAAAAGATTGTACTGACCAAATTAATAGGGGTTACATAAAGGTACAAGCAGCTTCTTTCATCTTTATCTGTATTTGAACCATTATATTGGAAACACATCTCAGTTGTTTTCTTCTCACTCTGTAAAACATTTCATAGCTTTACAGTAGGTACATCATTTTCTGTTTATTCAGAAACAATGAAAAAAGGGTCAGTAATGGGTTAAGAATAATCCTTGTGTTTATGTTTAACCTTAGTACTTCTCTTCTGATCTGTGGAACTATAAACATGAACTATTTCTCAACAATAGGAAAGGACAAGTTATCTTTTTTTTTTAATAGACCAGACAAACAACACGCTTCCTATTCAAATATTTCTTAAATTAGTACTTTAAAAAACATAGACATACAAGTCACATCCTCTGGATACATATATGCATGAAACAAACCAGTGGCACCGCATAGAATAAAATTGAGCACAATTTATAAACAAAAGCAGGATTGGTCAAGGCAAGGCAAGGCAAGTTTATTTATATAGCACAATTCATACACAAGGCAATTCAAAGTGCTGAACAAAATAAGAAATCATTAAAATCATAAATAATCACAGAACATTAAAAAGAAAGATAAAAATATAAAATCCCTCAGTTGTATGCACAGCTAAACAGAACCGTTTTTAACCTGGTTTTAAACATTGTCAGAGAGGAAGCCTGTCTCACATCTTCAGGAAGACTGTTCCAGATTTTAGCAGCATGAATCTGAAAAGCAGCCTCCCCATGTTTAGTTCTGACTCTGGGCACTAACAGGAGTCCCGTCCCTGTGCTCCTCAGAGTCCGGGCTGGTTCATATGGTACTAACATGTCACTAATATATTTTGGTGCGAGGCCATGGAGAGACTTGTACACAAGCAGAGCTGTTTTAAAGTCTATTCTCTGAGCCACAGGAAGCCAGTGCAGAGACCTGAGAACTGGACTAATGTGGTCGTACTTCCTGGTTCTAGTCAGGACTCGAGCTGCTGCATTTTGAATGTACTGCAGCTGTTTTACTGCATGTTTGGAGAGACCTGTGAGCAGGCCATTGCAGTAGTCTAACCTACTGGAGACAAATGCATGGATAAGAATCTCCAAGTCTGCTTTAGACACTATGTTTTTGATCCTGGCAATGTTTTTTAGATGGTAAAAAGCTGCTGATGTTACTGATTTGATGTGGCTATTAAAATTTAAGTCTGAGTCCAGTAATACTCCTAGATTTCTGACCTTGTTTGAAGGTTTTAGTGAGAGAGACTGGAGGTGACAGATGACGCTCTCTCTTTGTTTCTGGGGACCAAAGACAATCATTTCAGTTTTGTCTGCGTTTAGCTGAAGGAAGTTATTTTCCATCCACTCACTGATCTGTTGGATACAGTGAAGGAGTGAGTCCACTGGTCCATGTTCTCCTGCAGTCAGTGAGACATAGATCTGAGTGTCGTCTGCATAGTTGTGATAGGACACTTTGTTTCTGCGTATTAACTGACCTAACGGCAGCATGTAGAGATTGAACAGAAGAGGTCCCAGGATCGACCCCTGTGGTACTCCACAGGTCAGGGCCATATGATCTGAGACACAGTTTCCAATCTGGTCAACATCTGGTCAACATCCTACTCAAGTCGCATCCAAGGCAATCAAAGATCATTAAGTACAGTACAGTCTCTACAGTATTCAAACATGTAGCAGCAACTACCAGACTTTTCGGAGGAAAAAACATGAGCTTTTCCACTTTCCCCTTTCACCTTAGTCACACAAGAAAAAAGTCAACGTAATACCCAAAGTGTTCTGTTGATACTATTACAAAGAAAAAAAGTATTATTTTAATAAGATAGGGATGTTACAAATGTAACTTTAATGCAGAAGAAACTGGTTTAGATGCTCATGATTTGGACCACAGCTTAGCTCTTCTTTATAGACCTTGGCAGGTTCATTATCTGTATCCATGAGGCAGTAACTTATTGCAGTGATTCTTATACAAAATATCAGTTAGAGCGAGAACAATACATAAATAAAAAAATCAATCAATATGGACTGTACATTCTTTTTTATAGAAATTCTATTCCATGGACCAATTTGTTTTGTTTGAATGCATATTAGTTCTTCAAACCTGTGTTTCCAGTTAATGTTAAGTTACTTCACGAAGTAAATTGTCTAACATCTGATAGTGAAATTGTGTTAACTAAAAAGATATGAATTATCAACCTATGTCTCTCAACATTTTAACCTGCCTCTTTGATCAGTGTGCTGGTAAGAAAAAGTCAGTGTTGGACCCAAAGTAAGCTGTGGGCGCAATTGCAAAGAAAAAAGTATTATTTATAAAAGGTTTCTTGTTGCATCTGATGACTGAGCTGTCCATGGTAGCATCCGCAGGCCGCAGAGGCTCACCAGCAGAGGGAGCCATTATCATGTGTCAAATGTCATGTGTAACCTTCTTCACATGTCCGAAATAAAATGAATAAGCATATTTAGAATCACTGCAGCTCGTACATGCAAGATGAGCACGCGCACCTGCCTTCTTGTTGCTAGGTGGCGTTGCTAGGGCCAGTGCATCTTTTGAATCACTGCATCCGTGCAAAACTTTGGCTGAGACACAAACTCAATTTATCAACTTCACTCGACGATTTCTTCAAACAGGAAACATCACTGCAGACCATTTCCACCCAGACTGCTGCTGACCCACTCCTGACCACAACTACAAGACTTTTCTGAGGAAAAAACGTGAGCTTTTCCACTTTCCCTGTTCACCTTAGTCCCTATGGGTTTGGCCTCACAGTAGCCAAATAGCAACAAAGATCACTTTGATCCATGTCTAAAGAAGGTATACAGAGAGTATAATAGTCATAATAAGTGTAGGGATATTTAAAGTTCTTAAGCTACATGAAAGCTGTGCCATACAGATGTTGAGGATGAGTCTAAAGTGACAAACCCACATCACAGACAGGTTTCTGCTTCATAAAAAGGTCCTTTTCAGCCGCAGCAGTGATGTATCTACTGTTGTCTCTGATTACATTTCAGCCAGTTCAGTGAAACTATTAGTCTGTAAATGGAGATTATAATCCATGTGATTTTGAATGAATAAGTCTGTTATTGAGAAGATTACTCAGCCTGGCAGACCTGCCATATTCAGTCCAAATGGTTCTTAAACATCTACAAGCGTGACTTTCAAACCACACACAAAGAACTCTGCAAATACATTCTTCTAACTCGTCCCTCGCTCTTAAACAGTTTGGTTCCCTCACTAGTTTTCACACGTCTGTGTTTTTGACTTTACAAAAGTGAATAAGAGAGGACCATCCTCTTTCAGCCAATCAGCCCAAAGCATCAAACAACGACTCACAGATCTCTTTCTATACAAAAGATGAACTGTCTAATAATCATTTACTTTTACAAGACTTTATCTGTTGAGACAAACTAAATGTAACATTTATAACAAAAGAAACACATCTATTTGAAACTTGAAGACATCTCATTCTTCAAACGACCTGATCCACCTGAAGCCACAATATTTACTCTAATCAACTTATATGAACCATGATGCAACACTGTCCTCGTCAAAAACAGACCTGGAGTGGTTTTTAGATCCATCCACGCTGAACCTCTGGCACAAACATGTAACTCCGCCCCTTCTGTCTGAAAGCTCCAGTCTCAGTCCTGTAATAGTATGAAGTCCTAGTAGCACTGAGACCTCTGATTGAAACCCCTTGATCCAGAAATGGATGAATGAAGGGGATGAAAATGAATAAATGAATAAATGGTGATGACAGTGAGGTAGGCCAATTATTGGTGAACTCAACACATGTGAATTGGTTTAAACATCTCCCAAAACACCACGAAAGGCCACAAATAATGCATAATGTTTCCTCTTTATCTCATGGAAAAGTGAAGGCACATGTTGACAGAAAACCTTCAAATGAAGCAGCTGTTATCAGTGATGTTTGACATGTTCTGTTCCTCCTGCACAGATCCTTGTGCTCCTCCTCCATCAGGCCTCCACACCTCCTGCTGAGGACTCCATCAGGTCTCCATCAGGCCTCCACACCTCCTGCTGAGGACTCTGCTTTTAAGCTAAGTCTCTCGTTCACACGATGCCTGGCAGCTCTGCCAAGTTTCCTGGTTCTGGGAGGGTCTCTCACTACTCTTCTTCTTCTCTCCTCCCTCGCCCTTCTGTTCCTCCTCCTACTCCTGCTCCTCCTCCTCCGCGTCCTTCTGCTCCTCCTGCTAAGCGTTCTAAGCTTTCCTCTGCCTCTTCTCGTAAGCAACGTAAGCTTACCTCTGTTCCTCTCGCTTGGCGCTCCTCTGCTCCTCCTGCTTGGCGCTTCTCTGCCCCTCCTACTTGGCGCTTAGCTGGTCCTCCAGCTAAGTCTTCCTCTGCTCCTTCTGCTGGTCACTCCTCTGCTCCTCCTGCTAAGCTTTCCTCTGGTCCTCCTGCTAAGTCTTCCTCTGCTGCTCCTGCCCCGCGCCCCTCTGCTCCTCCTGCTAAGCTTTCCTCTGCTCCTCCTGCCCCGCGCCCCTCTGCTCCCCCTGCTAAGTCTTCCTCTGTTCTTCCTGCCTCCTGTTCCTCTGCTCCTCCTGCAAAGCGCCCTAAGCTTTCCTCTGCTCCTTCTGCTTGGCACCCTGCTGCTCCTCTTCCTCCCCCTGAGTCTCCTCCTAGCTTCCGTAAATGCAAACGAAAGTCTTCTCCTCCTCGTCCTGATCCTGTTGTTCCGCAGCAGGAGCCTGCCCCGCTGTTTCCTGGACCTGTCCCGGACTGGGTGGTGCAGATGGAGGCGTACCTGCAGGAGCGGGAGCTGCCCTGGAAGGAGCAGAAAAGGTCATGTGAGCCGCAGAGGCCTATTCCACCGATAACACACAAGTACTCCTTCTATTTTTAAGAACTGATCCTTTCTGTCTTTTGTTTCTTTGGAGGAGCAGAAGCAGAGCTGGGATCCACAGGAGCTGTGTCTCGGTGAAGGGTTAAGTATCACTTTGTAAATAGTTTGTATATTTTTTGGATCCATGTTTGATCCCCTTTGAACAAAACTACAAAAATATTTTACTAAGTTCAGTTTGTTGTTGTTGTTGTACATTTTTTGGATCCATGTTTGATCCCCTTTGAAAAAAAAAAAAAAAAAACCCAAAAAAATATTTTACAACTTGAGTTTGTCATTGTTCTTGTGTTGTACATTTTTTGGATCCTTGTTTGATCCCCTTTAAAAAGACAAATGTTTTTATAAGATTGTGTGTGGATTGTTGTGTGGTGCATAGCTTCTTTTGCAGGTGTCTTTGCTGTTCAGGGAAACAAGGTGAGTATTGATGAATTACAGTCACATTACTTTAAGGAATCACTCATTTATTCATTGTTTTTGAGTTTTTTTAGAGTGAAAAGTCATTTTCAAGTGAAAAACATTGAAAATGGCTCAAACAAAGAATATACAGCACAGGTACAGAAGTCTATTCTATCTGTACATGGAGTCCAGTGAATGAATGTGTTTTGTTCCCGTGAGGTCAGAGAGTGAGAGCAGAGAGTGGAGAGGGGAGTGGAGGAGGAGGCTAATATCCTTGTTTTCATCTCAAACACAGGTAAATCATTGTTTTGTTTGTGTCTGCTCCCACTTTATTACAAGAAGAACCTTCTTTAACATCTTCCTAACTGGCAATGTGTTGAATACTTTCCACTTTTATGCGGACGACTGTCACTCAAACCCCATGGTTCGTCCACATCTTGTTATGTCCGAATGAGGGGAAAGCAAAGGTGATGGTGTTTGGCAACACTGAGCCCTCACCGACACGGACCCACTTCAGCAGCAGCCTCGGTGTCACGTTAGATTTTATATTTGACAAACAGGTGAACACGCCAACCATTTAATCAGCTTTTATCCAAGGGGAAACCTTTGAATTGTTTTTATTTCTATGTTAGCAACCTTGTCATTTAAATGTGTTTTGATATACCGATTGTCCCATTAATCCTTGTTTGTTTTATCTACAGAAGGTCAAAGTATGCAGCGATACCTTTTGTCATTGTTCTGTTGAACGGCCGATGGTGGACCATGTGACGGACAAAACCTTTCAAATGAACTCGTCCTCCTGCCCTGCATGTGTGCCAGACATGGCTACTGATGGAAACAGAAAACTATGGTTTTATTAAGCCTTCAAGGTATAAAAAGACCTTTTAACGTAAATGTGTTTATTAAATATTCACAACATGTGTATGCAGGACGACAGAATCTGCTTACTTTGAGGGACTAATTGTTTGCGGTGATCAGCAAGTGGCAGCTCTTAAAGGGTACATGTTTTTATCTTTCTTTTCTATCTGCTCGTTACACACAACACAACACAATTTATTCTTGTTTAGCATAGCCCTAAATCACAACAGTAGTCGTCTCAGAGGACTTAACAGAACCATTGAAATCACCAACACAGATCAGAGAATCAACAGTTAAGACACACACAAAATCATATGAATTGGTTCATAGGGAGAGACCAATGTCCATGAATGTTGATAAATGTCCATACGTGTTGTAGAATGTTAAAGTGTCCTGGATCATCACCACAGTCCCTCTTGTTTGACACTAACTGTCCGACAGGAAAAAAATCTATAACCCAGTGGGAGAAAGTGAAAAACCTCGGGGAGATCCACATTGAGAGAGGGATCCGCTCCACATGGACAGACGGGCTATAGATCCAGGACCTAAGCTACAGAACGAGGACCATCGTTATCCCAGAGCTCTTAAGCAGTTCCCAGTTAATCAGTTGGAACAAAAGTCCACCCCCAGAAGACCAGATGCTGAAGCTTCAGAAAGTGAAAGAAGATCTGAGTAGGATCAATCTACGCAAAAGGCCGGATGCGAACACAAGGTGTGTACTGAAAGGTTGATGAATATTCTGAAGTCTTCACATTGACATGTTTAACTCATCTCTGCATCTGTGGTCCCAGTGCACCTCAAAGACACCATCATCATTCCAGCACCAAAGAAGTCCCCACTCTCCAGCGTCAAGGACTACTGGTGCTATCTGCATCAGTATTGCTGATGACACAGCAGTGGGGGACTCCTCAGCAACAGAGACAAGGCAAACTGCAGGAGTGAGGAGAGCAGTCTGCCCATGTGGTGCACTAGAACCATCTCTCTCTAAATGTGGACAAGACAAAAGACCTTGTTTTGGACTTTCAAAGAGTGCAGGTCCACCATGCTCCTGTAGCAATCAACAGTCCCCAGTGGAGAGGGGGAGCAGCACTAAGTTCCTGATGTGCACACACAGGACCTCTCCTGGACCATGCACACTACATCACTGGTCCACAAACGTAATCCGCGTCTGGGCTTTGGCAGTAAGTTTAGAAGCGTCAGAGTCCCAGTCTCGGTTATGTGCAACTTCTGCAGAGACTCGAGAGCATCCTGACCAGCTCCATCACTGTGCAGCACGATGCCAGCTCTGCCACCTGCTGCAGGAGCCTCCAGTGCATTGTGAGAGAAACTGAGAAGATCTGTGGATTTCCTGCATTCAGGACACTCCACCTGTCTCACTCCCAAAGCCGTCAGAATTACCTGGGACCCTACGCACCCTTAACAGCCCCTCAAAGTAATGCCTTCAGGGAGAAGGCGATCAGGACGCTGAACTCCCTCCTTTACTTGCCCTCCCTGTGCTCCTGCTCCTCACTCCCCATCCCCATTCTATAATAAAGGATGAAAAACTTGACAATAAATCTTTGAGTCTTTTAATACTTGTATATATTGTGACAATATGAATTAAACTGTGCTTGAAACGGGTCGCGCCTGTCCCCTTAAGACACAGCATTTGGTTCGCTCTATAAATGCGCGTCTCTCTCTCGGGTGCGCCCCTTTTGGACACGCCCCCCCTGCTGCTTCCCAGTCTGCGTCTGGCCAGGTACGAGATGCTGCGCTAGTGCAATGTGAATGATTACACATGCAATGGTTAGAAAACACACTTCGAGCTCTGTATCTTTGTCCCTCCAGGCTGACGAGGGGCTGCCTTACACTCTGCAGCCGCGACTGCGCGCGCACTCTGTCATAGGTATAATGCTCTGGGGTCAATTGGGGGCATTTAAATAGTCTAGTAATAGTGTGTTCCCCTAGTGACAGCTCTGCTACGCCGCTGCAGCTCATGTGGGTTAGCCTGGTCCTGGCTTTGCACAATGCCAAGGGAGGTTAAATCCCTCAACATTAGCTCAAGTCCCCAAACCTGAGTGGTCCTGTGGTCCCATGCAGGCTGCCTGCCTTTTGCCTCGAGTATTGAAGTGGTAAGAAAAGGAGAGTAATGAAAATGGCTTAAATAGTAAACTAAATTCTAAACATCTCAGCAGTGGTGTGGGCTTATTGAACCCACTTGAACGTACTTTCTAGTCCTCTTCATCGAAAGTAACAAGGTAAAAAAAGCATTTATCTTTGTATATGAATTTTTCACATTAGCTCCTAACAGGCTATTTTATTAACAGCACTCCCTGTGAGCCAGCCCATGATAGCCAGCCGCAACGCTTCTCCTGGCCCCATATTGAAGCGCTCACTGTTGTTTTGCCTAGAGATTACGTTGGACTCTACATTGTTAACGAATATACTGTAAACTTGACCTGACTGTCTGTGATTCTGGGATGAAAGTGTATCGTTATCTGCACTAAACTTTACTTTTGTTTTAGGAGCTGAGGTTCCATGTGGGTGCACTGGTGACCCCTGGTGGTGGTGTTTGAGCCGAACGGTCTAGGTTCCCCTTTTTGTGTTTTGTAGTGTCTGCTGTGCCAGGGGGTTCTACTCCTCGTCCAGTTGCTAACTCCCCTCTTTCTTTTGCCACAACTTCCCACTGTAGCCTCAGCCCTCTAATTTTAAACAGGTCCCATCCTGAGTGGGCAGTTTTAACTTTAAATGTATTAAAAATGAAATTCCTATAGTTTGAATAAATTAACAATGCTTGAAGTATCAATGGTACGGCCCTCACCTTAATAAACCACCATTTTGTACAGGATGGAGTCTGGTATTTCATTTCTCTTTGAAGTTATCGAATCTGTGTGTCTTTGGTATTTTCCATGGCGTTGCTGATCATTACTTTCACTCATTTATCCAGGCATTCAATTTTGGTACATTCATTTAAATCTATTCCCATATCCTTTCAATATGCCACAATATGTCTTCATTTCAGTGTTTAGGTCAGTGTTTTAGATCCAAAAACATCCATATTCGAACAAAAAATTACATTGAGCATATCCCACCCAATCCTATAACTAGGGGTGGGCGATATGGACACAAAATTATCTGCAATGCTTTGCTTGCCAGGGAATCTATAAATAGAGACAGCGTAGATCAATATTCATTCATTCATTCTTCATTCTCATCCCTTTATTGTCCATTTCTGGGTCAGAGAGCTGCCACCCAATTCACATGGCACCAGTCCCTTGCTGATCCTCCTGCAGGTGGTGGGTCCACAGGAAGATGGCTGTTCCTTCATCACAGATACGGCCTTGATCTTAGATCAAGATTGTATCTGAAGATTTATTTGCAAAGTGCTTCACACACGCAAAGCATGCACAAACATATATATTAACATTAAAAATCAAATTCAAGTATCACAGAAAGAACACATCCAAAAAGGCTAGCTCAATATTTACTGAAATGTACAAATAAAGCAGTGATTGGCTTTTTAGGCACACATTAGACAAATGGGCATCTTTCCTTCTCTAATTGTTGAATGTATTGAAAAAAAAAAAAAAAGATAATACGAAAAAACATATCTTCAAATTGACTTTCACGATATTATTGTCTACGATATATATTGCCCACCCCTACCTATAACACGCTTTTTTTACCTTCCAAGATTAAAAAAAGAGGGGGAAAGCCTTTATTATTTCAAACGGGGCCAATTGTCATTAAATTAGGGGTTTATATATACATCAAGAGTCTGTAAAACTGTCAGCTGCCATTTATTTGAGCCAAGATAGATAGATTCTTTAATGATCCCCGTAGGAGAAATTCAGGTGTCCAGTAGCAGCAAAATAAATAAATAAATTGATCATTCTAAAAAGCTAACAATAGTAATAATCAGCAACAGCCCTTCAGGTCACAGCAGCAGAGGTGGTGTAGCCTCTGGGTGGAGCTGGACAGGTCACAAGGTGGAGTAGCCGCTTGGTTCGGACCATTTTCTCTGCTCTAGTCCAAAGTAAAATGCTAAATGCTTCATTAGCATTTTTCAAAAAGGTAGCTTTCCTCCTGTGGATTTTCACCTGATCCGCTCGGCTCTTAGCTTTAAGTAGATAAATAAATATTTATTTGGGAAACAGTAAAATTAACATCATAGGAGCTTGATTATCTAAAAAGACACATTTCAAATACACTTAGAAGCGGTTACAGGCCATATTAAAGACACTTTTGAGTCCCTTGTTCGCTGAAGAAGGTTCTTTTATTTACATTTTAATAAACCATGAATGATTTTGTTACTGTATAGTTGTAATTACATAGATATACTTTATTGATCCCCCGTAGGAGAAATTCAGCTGTCCAGCAGCAGAAGACTCATCCAGGTTTGTTGTACAGTCTGACAGCCGAAGGAACAAAGGATCTCTTGAAACGTTCCGTTCGGCAGCGTGGTGATAGGAGCCTGTTGCTTCGATTACTCCTCTGAGCGGCCACAGTGTCATGCAGAGGGTGTCTGGAGTTACCCAGGATGCCCTGCATCAGAGCCCTCATCCTTCTCTCCAGCACAGCTCCCACAGAGTCCACACTTCTCCCCATCACAGAGACACATTTCCTGATCAGCCTGTCGAGCCGGATACTGTCTCTGGAGGTCAGACTGCCGCCCCAACACGCAACCACAAAGAACACGGCACTAGCTTCAGCAGACTGGTAAAAAATTCGCAACATTTGACAGCTCACATCCAAGGACCTCAGTCTTCTCCGGAAGAAAAGTCTGCCCTGACCTTTCTTGTAGATGGCATTGGCCTGAGCTGACCAGTCCAGTCTGTGGTCCAGGTGGACTCCCAGATATTTATAGGAGTGAAACACTTTGATGTCCTGTCCATTTACTGTGACCGGATGGGAAGGGCTCCTGTGAAAGTTGATGATCATCTCCTTGGTCTTGGACGCATTGAGAATCAGTCCATTTCTCTCACTCCAGTCTTAGAAGGCAGCCACCACCTCCCTGTACTCTGCTTCACCCCCCCTTCACACATGCCACAACAGCGGTATTGTCTAAGTATTTTTGTACATGGTTTGTAGCAGAGTTGTGTGCAAAGTCTGCAGTGTAGATTGTGAAGAGGAAGGGAGCCAGAACGGTACCCTGTGGTGCTCCTGTGTTGCTTACAACAGTCTCAGACACGCTCTTCCCTAACCTGACATACTGTGACCTCACAGTGATGTAATTGTAAATCCAGTTGGTAAAGATGGTTGGTAATTATATATGTAGTACTTTGTTTATAACCAATTGTAATATGCACAACTGTTAAACGGATCTAGATTCGATAAGGAGAATAGTGAGCACAGCTTAGAGTTCTTGCCAAAAAAAATCTTGTATACAATGAGAGTAAAAATAAAATACAAAAAATAGTATATGTGTGTAAAAAGAAAATTAAGTGTCCACCCTTTGGTTTTGTGTTGTTATAATTGTCTTTGTAAAGTGGGCAGGAATCTCCTGTAATATCGACTGTAATGTTACAGTATATTGACTAGCGGATTACGTTGGCATCACATAGCTCCTTTAAATGTTGTCTGACTGCATCATAATCTGAAGGATGTATGGGCCTAGGCCGCTGTTTGAATGGGGTTGGGTCTGAGAGTCGTATAGAGTCGTATACAGTGTTTCACAGCTGTTGTGTGCCCGGGTTATTGATATGGTGAGAAGTAGTGAGTGAACCAGAGGGGGGCTATTGAAAATAGGAGAGATGAGCGGGTGAGCAACGTGGTTATTTTCCCCACATTTGAAGCAAAACCAAGCCTTAGGGGCTGATTTAGGCCCATAGCCTTGACCTCCAATGTTATGAAGTGCCTGGAGAAGCTGATGGTAAGAGAGCTGAAGTCAGACATAGGAAGCAAGTTGGACCCCTACCAATTTGCTTATAAAAACAATCGAGGCACTGACGACGCAGTGATAACAGCAGTGCATAATGTTCGCCAACACCTGGAACACCCTAAAGCATATGCCAGGCTGCTGTTTATCGACTTCAGCTCAGCGTTTAACACTCTGCAACCACACATCCTTCTCAAAAAACTTCAACAAATGTCCGTCAACCCATACATAATCCGATGGTATCACTCATTTCTTTCCAACAGGAGCCAGCAGGTTAGAGTGAACCATACACTGTCTGACATGAAGACCATCAACACAGGAGCGCCCCAGGGCTGTGTCAGCTCACCGCTCCTCTTCACACTGTACACAAACGACTGCACCAGCGGCCATTCCAGAACTTTAATCATCAAGTTTTCAGATGGCACTGTTTTATTAGGACTCATGGACAAGGACACAGACTGGTGCGAGGACCACCATCTCATCATCAACGTAAAGAAGACAGAAGAAATCATCTTTGACCCCGGACATCTTGGAAATCACTCTCCGCTCTCCATCCATGGCTCAGCGGTAACACAGGTACACTCATATAAATACCTGGGAGTCCACATCGATACAAGTCTGGTCTGGAATGTACACGTGAACTCTGTCTGCAGCAGGGTTCAACAAGGGTTCAACAAAGACTCTCTTTCCTGCGGAGATTGAGACTTTTTGGAGTTGAACAGAAAATAATGACGCTATTTTATCATGCTGTAATTGAGAGTGTAATAAGATATGGTATGTGTGTGTGGTTTGGGAATTTCACTGTTAAAACAAAAGCAGAACTTTACAGATTAGTGCGGACAGCCTTTAAAGTCATGGGAGTTAGGGAGCATCCATCTTTGCAGCAGATATTTGAGGAGACTGTAATAAGACAGGCCAGGAAAATCACCTCAGACCCCTCCCATGTCCTCCACTCTCAATATGAGCTCCTCCCATCAGGCCGCCGCTACAGAGTACCCACTAGAAATAAGAAACGATATCTAAACCGGTATAAGAACCCATTCCTACCCATTTCTGTCAACCTCCTGAATGCAGGCCATCGAGCAGAGCGGTGATGGTTTATGTCGGTGTTACTGTGTTGTGTTTTATGTCTGTCTTATGTGTATTTTCAATGTACCAGCCTGTGAGTCCAAGAAAAATTTCCTACGGGACATAATAAATTAATCTTGAATCTTGAATTTTGGCATTTGCTGGTGTGCTTGGAGCTCAGCTACAGTCGGAGATGGCGCACTTACAGAAACAGCTGGCTTTTGTTCCTGTTTTTTCCGTCTTTGAGTTCTTTTCTCTGTTAACTGCACTTGTAGATCTTTCACTTGTTTTCTCAAGTTTTCTGTTTCTGTTATATATCTCTGCATTATATCTTTAACAATGGTTGTGGTCGGAGCAGGCTCAGGGATTCCTTGAAACTGTATGAGGGGTTTTGTTTTAAAACCTCCAAAGTGACGCTGCATCCTGTCTGCTTTTAATGAACGTCTCTCTTCTTCTGTTCTGAGTTCAAGGAGGAGCTCTGAAAAGTCTGGAGCAGGTTCACTTTTTAATCTTTGCTGAAGGGTGAGGAGGAGGGTTTGGTCCCAACAACCTCGCACAAACTGTTTGTAAAGCTGTCGGTTTGCATTTGCCTTGCTTACACCACCTCGTTTGACTGCCATACGAGGTGTGTGTGTAGTCTTTGA